TATTCTTTAGTTTTCAAGTGTATTACTAATGGAATTAAGCATTTTGTACTCCTCATTCACTTGTCAAATATTATATACCCTCTCCATTCTACATAATTTATCCATATCTTTTATCTCCGTTCATTCCACATAATTTTCTTTCCTTTTTTCGGGAAAATAGTTATACATTTTAATCGTATTTCAAATTTCATAATTTTATAATTTTAATTAAATTGATTAGTATTTTAATCTTAATCTATAATTATTTGTATTGTATAATAATTAATTTTATTAATACACATTTTAATTATCTACTAATTATACCTTGTTGGCTATATTCTCGTCGTATCTATAGAAAATCAGACAAGTAAGGTGGGACGGAAGGAGTATTCAGAATGATGTAAGGACTAGTTCTAGACATACAACAATAAATTAAAGCCGTATGGAGATATCTTTGAGAAAATGGTACAATAGAAATATGGTATGAATGGCTTGTGTAACATCATGCACTTCCAATCATACATTGTTATACATTTCTAAAGCATTGTCGATATGAATTACGACTAAATGGAAGTGTGATATTTCATCCCTAGTGTGCTAAAGGGAATAGATGTCAAGCTTAAACTAAGTCTCATTCGACAAATTTAAATGTTGGAAAGCATTTGAGCATAAGAGATAATTAACACCACAATAATGCATGGTTCTTGTAACAAGGAAAATAGTTAGTACAGTTGAAACGTTATTTCTAAAAGAAGAATAGAAATGTTGTCCTACAAACTAACGAGAACCACTACAAAAAAAATATCAATTTTGTAACAAGATTTTTTTGTTGTTAAATCCACTTTTTCCGTTACTAATGATATTAGATACGGAATTAGAGATGAAATTACGTTAGCTACGTTAACTTTAGGAACGGAATTCCGTTACAAATATACTTATTTTTTTTTGTAGTGACATCTATAGCACAGAAATTCTATATTATTTCAGTAAAGATTGTATTGGAAAATATACAATATACAGTTAAATAAAATATTTCATTAAACATTTCGATCAAACAAGCTTTACTTTATTACAATTTTTCTCACTTTTCGTGACATCTAAACAAATAATTACGCATATATCACTGCAATTGCAAGGTTTGTTTACTTTGATGGGGTGTTAATGTATATTGTTTAAAATAGATAGTTTATTCAAGGTTCATTTTTTTTTTTTGTTTTTTTTTTGTTTAAATCATTGTTTAGTTTTACGTACGAAATTTCATTGTTCGTTTACCTTCTCTTTGGTTTTCTTTAAAAAAAATTCTTGTCTAGTTTGACTTATGCAATTTCATTTTTAATACGAATAAGTTATAATTTAGTTCAAAATCAGAGTGGCGCAGCAGAAGCGTGGTGGGCCCATAACCCACAAGTCCCAGGATCGAAACCTGGCTCTGATACTGATACTTATTTTAGTCTAAGAGGATTGTTATTAGAAGTGGGCATGCAATTTGGTGAACTGAAATTAAGAAAAAATATTGGCAAATATTAGGTTCAGATTTTTTGCCCACCCATAATTGTTGTTACTCATGTGCCTTAAATATTATTCATCTCTCTCACATTAATATTAGTGTATTTTTTATTGTATTATTTAATAATTACTTTAACATATTATTATTCTGTTAAATTATGGTTTAAATTTTAAAAATTTAAACTAATTGAACTTTAAAAAATTTACATGTATTTTCTTTAATTTATGAAATAAAAATAAAACTTTCTTATTCATTATATTATTTTAATCTAAAAAAATTGTTAAATAACTCGGGAAATACGCTAAAAATATATATTCCTTCTAACTGCTAAGAATTTCTATTAGGCTTATTCATTACATTATTCTAACTATATATTAATATAAAAGAATATATTAATCACTCAAGAAAGACACTAATAAAGATATTCCTTCTTGAGTTAAAGGAGGAAGAGAAGGCCTCAAGGTGGCAATATCATGGGTTACTTTGCGAAAAATTGTAATTTCAGTTTGACATTAATATTATTCATTATCCATAATTTTTTTAAAAAATATATATATTATTTTTTTATAAAATATCATATTAAAATACTATTTAAAAAAAATTACAAATCAGCATTCTATTTCATATCAATTTTAAATAACAACCGAACAAACTTTTGCAAAAGAAGCAACATAGCACTCATAGATAAAGCAGACGACATCAAGATCTCTTTCAACGACTAGGTTCACCAAAAGGATACACAAAACAAATCAATGGTCACTCCAACATAATACAACTTATGGTCGTATCACTAAGAAGCAGCATATGGATACATAGATTTAATTGTATAAAAATTAGAGCTTTTATATGTATATATTTGGCTATATACACTTATGTAGAAGTTTTGAATTATTTTTTCTCTTGCAATCGATTACCTTTCCTCAAATATTTTTCCCGGGCACATTTCTCCCTTCCAATGGAAATTTTGGGTTAATTTACATGTTGAACTAACATATTGGCACTGCGATAGAAAGATTTAAACATTTTGTAGTACAGCATAAAAATATGATGAATATAATGTTTGTAAGAAAAGAACAAAATATGTATTTCTTATTTTGGCATATGAAACAATTCTACAGTCTCAGCGGCTGTACAGATTGTTGATATGCTTTAAATTTAATTTGCCACTTTACTGAGTTTTCACAAGTCTTCCTAACCGGTCAGCGAGTCGGGGGGTTAAGGGGGGCAAAGTCCCCCTTGCCTGGGTCCAAGGGCGCGGAGTGGCCTCCGACCCAACCATGTGCAGTATTAAGCTATGGAGTTGGTATTAGGCTAAGCCTATTTGATGTATTCTTTTAGTTTATTTTAATAGACTTGGAGATATGAAATTTGTAATATGTAACGTAGTCATTTTCAATAAATCTGTTCTTCGTTTCTACCCGTGGACGTAACCAACATGTTGTTGGTGAACCACGTAAATCTGTGTTTTCTTTATGTTTTTATTTGTTATTTGATCATTAATCTTAATCCATCACAATAAAGACTATAATAGATGTCTACAAAGCCAATTTGATTGGTTTAAAATGAATCAGAGATGTATGCCAAATGACACATTTCAAATTGTCATATGAAGCCAGGTATTTTGGGAAGTCAAAAACATGATCCATAATGTGTGCAAGACATTTCATGCTCTCAAATTAGTGTGATAGATTGTGAATAATGCTCTTTTTTATGATATAGGAACTTGTAGCTACTTACTCTCCGTGTTGGGTAAACTTCCGGCTGAAAATTCCCAAGCTTCCATGGAGTCCTGAAGTTGATCATAAGAATGAAAAGAAAATGATGATTAACTGAAGATGATAACCAACCCATAAACATGCTTACGCTCAGCTAGATAAGTACTTTCTTGATATTATTCATGCGGTATGACGACTATTTTCTTGTGTATGGTGATGTAAAAAGAGTTGTGGAAGTAGATGATTTGTATTGTATATTTTGTTGATGTTTCAACTTGTAAACCCGGTGATGGTTTCTAAGAAATGTCCTTTAGATTAGAATTCCCCAAATATAGGTATTGATATCAAATTGGGTCAACAAACATCGAGTGTTCTTTATTTTTTTGAGTACTTGATCAGCCATAGGCTTGTGCAAAATTCCATGCACACTGATGTCATTACCATAGAATAATCATGTGATAAAAAATTGTGTTAACCTTTCACGGTTTAATAACTCCGCTATCAATAAATTCAAAGAAGTTGGTCTCTTACAATGTCGCGAAGAAGCACTAAATAACAGCAATTTCCTATTTCAACCATGATTGAGATAGATAAAGATATACTACCTCTGTCCCATATAAAGTGCCTCATTTTTTTTTTTCGTCGTTATATTTAACATTAAAAATATCTTTACATTTATATAATTTACTCCACAAATATCATTGTATTTGTATTATAAAAAACTAATAGAGGTATTTTTGTATAATAATTAATATTCAAAGATTAATATGCAAAAAGCCAATGATAATATGGGACGGTCGTAATATATATATATATATATTATAGGAGTCTTGGGTAAAGATAGAAAAGCCCAAGAAATTAGAACAAAATATGCATTGAGATTGAATATTGAATTAATGATCATTTTGGACACATTTTGGATACCGTCAAAATCGAAAGTGAGTAGAAGGACGCGATCGATGTGGGTGAATAGCAATGAACTTATTGATTCACTAGCTTGCTCGCCTTCATCTTCGAATAGTTACCAAAATTTTGACAATAGATGTATAGCTTGGCCACCCTATGTGTTGGTGGAAATGCAAGCGAGATTGCCCGCTGAAGTTGACTTAACCCGCTAATTGTTTTAAAATTGTTGGGCTAAAAGTTGAGAGGATCGTAAGCTAGCAAGTTTAATAGAGAATTTATGTCACCATATTCAACAGAAGTACAATCAAAATTCTACATTGGTACGAATATCAAATGTAAAAAGAATTTCCGCACTTGATTTTTGACATCAACAAAGCGTAATCTTTTGTACCATCAATATATATGTTTATAGGTAATTATTCAATACATAAATTACCTTTTTTTTATATGAAAATCAAATTCTCTTGTACTATCGAACCTACAAATACATCGATATTCAAAATCGTGTGAAGTGTAACAATTATCAGGATATTGTGAATATAAACCAATACTATATATATATATATCAATTTTTTCTATTTTTATCAAAATTATAGATAAATTCATCAATGTAGATATTAAACAAAGTTTGACAGTAAAAGATAGAGTGAGGTCCATGAATTACAAATTATTGTATAAATAACATCAGTTCATTTATCCTGTGCACTACAAAAAAATAATATATTTGTAACGGAATTCCGTCCCTAAAGTTCATGTAGCTAACGTAATTCCATTCCTAATTCAGTCTCTAATCATCGGTAACGGGAAAAGTAGATTTAAAGACAAAAAAAATTGTTACAAAAATAATTTTTTCTTGTAGTGGTGTATGAAACAACCAAAAAAAATGACCTGTGTTACATATAACTATATATTGTTTTATTTTTGATAAATAGTTTATAATCGAAAGCATATAAACGATCACAAGGTAAGAGAACCAAGAAAAGCACACGCACGAGGATAGTGCTATAATTATTTCAAAGCTTACACTCCCATACATAGCAGTGAAGTTATTATTTCGCCTCCCTCGAGCTCATTTATTTGTCGTTTTCACTTTTTGCCAAGAATTTGGTTAGCCATATGGCTGACTGTTTGGGGTGCCGATTCAGATTGTTCTTATAGTCGATGTAAGTGATGCCGAATCTCACAGTGTATCCATTCATCCATTCGAAGTTGTCGCACCAAGACCATATGAAATATCCCTTTACGTTAACACCATCTCTACATGAATGCAACCATTGCCAAATTAGAATTAACCAATACAAAGGCTGGTGTTATTAATTGATAAAAAAAAATAATAATAATGAACTGAATATCTGTAGTAATAACTTACTTCAAGGCTTCGAGAACATTTCCAATATGATCGCGGAGATACTTCTCCCGGATTGGATCCTTGCACGCCTCCTTTGCAGTGAGCTTGTAGTCGTTCTCTTCGCACACTCCTAAAGCAATGTCAAAATCTTAAAATACCATTGAAGTTACAGAGAGTTTTGATAACTAAATAGAGCTTTTGGATATGGTGTTATAGCTAGACTTACCATTTTCGGTTATGTAAATAGCAGGGAGGTTGTATGTGGGATTGTTGTATGTATCATTAAGGTATTTCAACAGCTTGCGAATACCCCATGGAACTCTGTAAAGGGGCATTGAACCTGGAGCCTGAAGCATCAAGCCATATAGATATTGTAATAGTGAGAAAGGTAACTTAAATAAGTAACAATTAAATCGACTTTTACCAAAGTAGTTGTAAGTGTTTATTAATCCATTAATCCCCCAACCGATCATCGAAGAAACTTACCAGTGGACCTATTGGCCGCCATCCATCTTTTTCATCTGAGAGGAGTGGAAAATAAGACATAAATATGTCAATTTTTCATATCAAAACACATTAAATAACAAAGGATTAGGGTTGGCGAGAGTCATGGGGAAGAAGACTTACTTAAAGTCTTGATTTTCTGATCGTAATCGAAGAGAGTTACCCCATGAGGGTGTGGATTGTTAGCTACATAGTTGGCTGTGTAATAGTTTATTCCCAAAAAGTCGAGGGTGCCTTTGAGCAGCTTCGATTCTTCTTCATTGAATGGATCGAGATCTCCAGGAGAGACATTTTCTAGCATGTTTTTTGGGTATTGACCTCCCAACAATGGCTCAAGAAACCTACATCGATCAAATTAATTAATTGTAAGATGGAGTAAACAAATTAAGATTGAAATGAGAATTAGACAGATCATAAGCTAAGCTCACCATCCAATTTGGAAGTCGAGTGCTCTTTTGGCAGCTTCTATGTCTTCTGGTTTATCAGAGTAAGGCTCATTCCAGATACAATTGAGGACTATTCCAACCTCACCTTGTTGGTGTTTCTGAACATCACATCCCTTAATTCAATACTAACTCCTAAGAAATAATGATATATATTTTGATATTTCATCCTGTCATTCAAACTTATGGTCATATTTTTTTTGTTACAGAAAAATATTCTTATTTCGTTTTTTAAGTAAAAAAATATTATTTTTTTTATATTTTTTTTTACTATTAAAAAAAAAGTTATTTTTACTCAATTTTCATAAAATCCGTGACCAGTCAAGCATGCATGAGTTTGGATGACTAAAGATTATAAAAATGAAGATTATAGAAAATTTATTGAAGTATATATAAAAATGTTATGTGAGACATAGAAATAAATAGAAGTAAATTGTTATTATTTGTCAAAGTAGAAATAATAAAATTGTAAGTAAATAAAATTGTTTAGTATAAATAAATTGTACATAAATTTAATCTACAGCCAAAAAAGAAAATATAGCATAATTATAGTTAACCGAAGAAATATATATGGATCGGACACATTTATTTAATTATGTACAATACCTTAAATTTGGCTTCGTAGCATTCAGCTGCCTTGGCATGAGCAAGGAGGATGTGTTTGGACGCAGCGAACACATCTTTTGGTGAACTTGTGCCTTTGCGGTGTAGAGCTGATGTTTTGGCAGGAACACCTTTGTGAAACTTGTGGTTATGGATGTGGTGTTCACCGTCGGCGCCATTGTCACCTTCTATAATAGGTTGCGCAAGACTAGGCGGTATAAGCCCAAGAACATATCCATAGTAACAGCTCATATATGGTTCATTGAAAGTGGCCCATTTCTTGATCCGATCTCCAAAATGCCAAAAGCAAAATTCGGCGTAGTCGTGAAAATCCTTCCTGAAATCAAAGATCAAGAAAATGAATTGGTTTGGGAAGTTCGAATTTAATATGACAATTCTTACCCAAATTAAATTTTGTCAAACTGCAATGAATCTTGAAGACAAATATTGCACAACTTACACGAAGTTTTCACTCAAAAAGCCACCATACTCTTGTTCCAAAAACTCGGGAAGATCGCAGTGAGACAATGTAACTAATGGTTCAATTCCTGCGTGTAGTTAACGGACAAGAGTATAAAACAACCTTAGCCTGAATATATATATATATATGGCCGCAGGTTTTATGCTGATCCGGCTAAGTCAATATGATGTTAATTTGACTGAATTAGCATATGTCATATACATAACCGACATATATTTACACATAATACAGCATATGCTAAGTTATAATATAACATATGTTGAATTATAATATAACTTATATTGTATTATAAATATGTTGAGATATATATATATAAATATATGTTGATTACTTGTATAGCATAGAGAGGGAGAGAGAGGTTTGAGACATTAGTTTGGACAAGCACCTTTGTCCATGAGGGAATCTATCATTCTATTGTAGAAATCGACTCCTTCCTGGCTGATTCCAAGGCTAATTTTTCCCTCTAATTAAGAAAATAAACACATCAAACAACAAACCTGTGAGCTAAGATTAAAATCAAGATTATGATCGACCAATTGTTTGTAGCTCATTAACTAATTGTAACTTACGAGGCAAGACTCTTGACCATGAAATCGAAAATCTATAGGCATCCAAACCCATGCTTTTCATCGTCCTAAAATCATCCTGTCAAGGCAATCAAGTTCATGACTACTTGAAAGTTGACACTACAATCTCTGAAAACATATATATATGTAGAGAGAGAGAGAGAGAGAGAGAGAGAGAGAGGTAACCTCATATCTGTGATACATGTCAACAGCAACATTTCCATTGGATCCATCAGAAATTTTACCTGTAACCCTCAAAAAAAATAGTCAATGTCTACATGCACATGAATATACAGAATTGTAGAGAGAGAGAGATCAACCAGGAGTCATGAGGGTGTAAGTATCCCAAACACAAGGGCCTCTACCTCCTTTGGTGGCTGCTCCTTCTACCTGACAAATAACAAAATTAATTTATATTGGAATCCTTTGTTAAACTCCTCTGAAGAATGATTAAGAATTAAGGTAGCCACAACCATAGACAGACCTGGTAAGCAGAAGTTGAGGTCCCAAAAATGAATTCAGGAGGGAAATCGTTGCGACTGATGTTAGTGAATGACGGTTCCACGGCGACAATTGGAGCTGAGACATTCCCTGCCATTGCTAATGCTATCTATCTGTATAGATTGCTTTATTAATTTTTTCGTTGTGAATGAAATAGTGGGAATCAGCACTTCTATTTATAGCTGCATTCTCAAGTCGACTCTTAATTAATACTAATCGACCCTTCTATTTCCATTTACTTGTTGTCTTTCTGATCTTTTCCTATGGCGTTTTTTTTATTTGGGAAAATGATTTTTTTTAGTTATGTAATGACCCTTGTTATTTTAGTCTTATAAGTAGAGTTCATATAAAAAAATCGTTACTTAAATGAACTTTTTTTTTTTTTTTTTGGAACAATTGGTCCTCCGGTGCTGAAGATGCGCCTGTGACACCCGTCTGCATGCTGGAGCACTCGTGTCCAGGGCCGTCCTTGGGCCCGGGCAAAAGGGGCGCCCGCCAGGGCTCAATCTAAATTGGAGCTCATTATTTACTTATGTTATATAAAAATTATTTATACATACAAATTATCTGACATTAATGTATTAATACAATAGCATGGCTTGGTGGTTAAGTTCTGTCTATATTGTTACTGAGGTTTTTAAAAATATTTTTTCATGCATTAAAAATAAATAGACAAAGTTAGTATTAATAGTATTATTGATATTTTGCATATAAAAATATTATGAAATTTATTTTATTTAATTATTTATATTTTATTATAGATAAAAAAATATTATTTATACATATTTTAGGGGTCTCTAATTTTTGTTTTAAGATTGTTAATATTAATACTATTATTGATATTTTATCTAAAAATTCTAAAAGAAATTATTTTATTTAATAATTTATATTCTATTATAGGTAAAAAAAAATCGGAGTAGATTATTTATAAATATTTAGGGGTCTTTTATTTTTGTTTTAATTATTTTTTTTACACTAAAAAAATAATAAATATTAGACAAAATTATTATTATTATTGTTAGGCAAAATTATCAATAATTTCTTTATGATTTTGAAACTCATTGTAAATCTTTTATATACTTTTAAAATGGCATGAACCATTTATTCTTTAAAAAATGTTCCATGAAACTCATTTTTATATTTTTTGGTAATGATAAGATGACTTTTCATCTTTTTTTTTTTTTTTTTTTTTGCATGGCGAGGGTTTCATATATATAGCGTTTGTTAAAATATAAGAAAGCGTTATGCAATTTTTAAAGTATATGAAAAATTTATGCTAAGTTTCGAAACTAAATTTATGTTAGAAAAAATATTTTTTTTATTTATATTTTATTATAATTAAAAAAATATTTTATATATATATTTAAGGGCCCCTAATTTTTATTTTGCCTTGAGCCCTTCGAAAGTCAAGAACAGCTCTGCACGTGTCTACCGGGTAGAAGCCACCCTGAGGACACATGAAATTTCTTTTAATCTTGTTATTGACCCCATTATCATTTTAGTCACGGCATCTACCCGAGGGACACGTGTGCTCCAGCATGACTGGCGGGTGCCACATATGCATCTCCCGGATGACCAATTCTACCAAGGGCGACTCACAGCAGGAGCAGGGTAAACAACTGCTCAGGGCCCCTAATTAATAAAGGGTCTATATTTTAAATATTATCTATTATTATTATTAAATTTTAAAATTAAATTTTAATTTTTAATTTATATTTTTTTTCTTCTTCATAATTAACCTATTTAATTTTAAAATTAAATTTTGATTTCTAATCATATATTTTTTTTTATTTCTTTTTAATCGTCTACACTTCTTTACCTCACACTCTATCGCATTGCTCTCAGCAACTCGATCAAACATGCCTCACCTTTTCTCTTATATTTTTCACCCTCCTTCAGTCCTTCTTACTCTTCGAACTTTCAGACAGGCCGTCTTTCGTCTTTTTTCTCAAATTAACATTGTCCAGACGGTCGCATTCAATCTCTTGTTCAATCAACGCCAATCAGTAATATTATTAAAAATATATTTTAATTATGTAAAAGTAGGACCTATAATTTATTTTCGCTCAGAGTCTAAAAAAAGTCTGAGACGGCCCTGATTCTACCAATAAAATTCACCAAGGGACGATTTTTATACTGATACTGAAATGATACGGAAGTCCGGGATTAAAAAAAAAAATATTTTTATGTACGTTATTGGTTTTCTAATTGTGTTTTCATTTTTATTATACTGTGTTTATTTTTTTTCAGCATTCATGTTGTATGTAGGTACTTTTCATTCACAACCTTAAAAAAAAAAAAAGTAAAATTTCGGGTAAAATGTTTCTTAATTAAATGGATCATGTCTGCAAAATAATTTCGCAAGTAAAAATTATTCACTAAAATGGTCTTTCAGTGTCGGATTTGCTATGCTGGCCTGTCATTGCGATGTGACGATGACAAATGTGGTTGATATGTCATCGCCATATCAGGGACATATATGTGAAAATTTTTATTTTTTTGTTTTAGCAAATGTGTTGATTAAACTGCCTTTTTTTTAGCCTCGTATCTTTGACCTCTTTTATCATTTTAGAATTTCAAATCGACTATATTTGAAAATGGTCTCGCAAGTAAAAAATTTTCATAAAATGATCCTATGACGTGTCACTGACGTGGCAATGATATGTCAGCCGCGTCAGCACCACATCATCAACAGCAAACCAACATGGCAAATTCGGGACCGGAAGACTATTTTAACAAAAAAATTTTACTTACAAAACTATTTTCGAACATGATCTATTTAAAATTCTAAAATAATAAATAGATCATATACGGGATTAAAAAAATACTTTACCTTTAAATTTAGTTGTCTTGTTTTTACATGTGATCCGAAAGAAACTATTAAAATTGTGGGAAATCTATTTCCATTTTACTAATAGCCTTTTCCTTTCCTCCCTCGTATATCACTATTACATACTATTTAATTTATGAATGAATATTGTAATATTCATATGCATGTTTTGGGTGTCCAATAATTACACATTTTATGTCCTCATGTTAATTCATCTTTTTAATTCATATCTTTTTACTTCCCCATTGATTTTAACTATATTTACATCTTTTTACTTCCCCATTGATATTAACTATACATATTTTTTATCATCATTTCAAATTGTCTTTTACATCCATTATCTTCTAAATTTAAGGAAAATTTATAGAAAAAAAAAATATGTGTTCATAAATTACTGATTTTTGTGTCAGCTTCCATTAGCAATAATTGGTGATGAGATCCAACCACTCAATGTTCTTGTGATTGTTGGAAAGAATTTTTTTATTTTTTTTATGTGAGGTATAGGAAATTGTGTAGCGAATATAATTAAAATTTGTGTATTGAAGTATTTTAAAATTATATATTTATATAAATATAAATAATATGCTTGTAATTTTATTATTAGTAAATTTTTATGTAATATAAAAATTAAGAAACTCTTTTTTGTTTATTAATATTATACTAAAAATTATTTGGTTGTAATTTAAAATTAATTTGAAATAAAGTGTTGATTTGAATTTTTGATTAAATAGTATTATAATGTAATATTTCTTAAGATAAAATGGTAATTTTTATTTGAAACGGTGTGAAGTGAATAGTGATGATTTTTGTTTGAAATTGTAAGCGAACAAACCCTAGATTTGCATTCAAAACATCCTATTAACATATATTTATACGGTATCAAATAATTATTTAATTTATAATTTTTTATTATTCGAAACTTAAAGTCCCAAAAAAACACAATCATAAAATTTAGAATTTAATCAATATATATAGCAATATATATATATATATATATTTTTGTGTGTGAGTGTTAATAAAAAACAAGAGAGAAGAAAGAGTCATTAAAGATTATAGGGTCAGCTGATTAATGCTCAAGATACATTTAAATCAATAAAAAAACAACAATAATATATTAGTTATTGCCAATTACGATTAAATTTAGTACGTAAATAATTGATGAAAATAATGAAATTTGAAATAATTAGAAAATTTTAGGTATAGGTAATATCAATTAAATATATACTTCTTCCGTCCCGGTACAAGATTTGACATTAAAAATATTCTTATATTTAAATAATCTACTCCAAAAAAGTTATTATATTTATATTATAAAAAACTAATAAACATAATTTTCTATTTTTACTACGCATTGATATAATAATTAATAATTCAAATATCAACGTACAAAAAATCAATGACAGTCTTCTTACACATAAAACGAAGTATAATATATAAAAGAATATAAATTGGAAAAACGGTCAAATTCAAAGACAAAAAATAAATAAATTATCTCGTTGGATGTCCGTTGAACATTATTATTGTAGTAATATACATATATGCATGCTCGTTAGATGTGTTTGTAGTGAGTATATTTGTTTGGCAAATTTTATAGGATTTTTACTATTAACTAAATTTTTTTCACCAAAAATATTAAATCAAATATTTATTTTTTATTTTTTATATTATATTAAAAATTAATTTATATTCAAAATATCACATCAACAACTATTTATATCACATCAATATCTATTTATATCACATCATACAATTATTCTAATTCAAAAATTTTATTATTCAAATCTCAACTCAAAATCCAAACCTCAAAACAAACACATCAAATCAAATATCAAATCAAATCTTATTCATCAAAATTTTTACCTCAAAAAAAAATCAAATCAAATATCTATTTTCACTTTTTATATTATACTAAATATTAATTTTACATTCAAAATATCACATTAATACCTATTTATATAGCATAATACAATTATTCAAACTCAAAATTTTTACTATTCAAATCCCAAATCAAAATTCAAAGCCACGGGCTTGATGTGATATATATTTGAATAGTAAAAATTTTGAATTTGAATAATTATATTATGCTATATAAATAGATATTGATGTGATATTTTGAATGTAAAATTAATTTTTAAGTATGAAAATTTGAATTTTTATTGAAATTTAAATAGCAAAAATTTTGAATTGAAATAGTTGTTTGATGTGATATAAATATATATTGATGTGATATTTTGAAAGTAAAATTATATTTTAGTGTGATAAAATAAATAAAAATTAAATATTTGATTTGATATGTTTAGA